ATGATTTTTTTCTCAAGGGGGGGGGGGGCCCGGGCCCCCCGGGCCCCCCCCCCCCCTGGATCCGCCACTGCTTTCCCCTATCCCAATTTCTTTCAAACATCGTAGGCATAGTCACTACCATCCAATCAAGGTCACTATTGAGGCCTTTCTTTCGCCCTACCTGTCTCCAATATTACAGAAGCTAAAGACTTCGTACAAATTGCTCTGGATAGTCCGAGAGAAGCTCTTTCGTTCGACACGTAGAAACACGGCGTCATTGCACGCACATCGTTGTGACACGATTGCATTTCTAGTTTAAGACTGTTATTCGGTTGTGTTAGTATGGGCGGCCGTTCGTGCCAAAGCACGCGTCGTAACATGTTCATCATGCACCAAGTCATATTGGTTTTGCACGCAGTGCTTGCGAGCCCTTTCTAGATCCCTTCCTCTACTCCAATTCCCTTCAAAATTCGTAGGCATAGTCTCTAGCATTCCTTCAAGGTCACTAAATTCTTCGTTCTCCGGAAACCCTCATGCGTGACCGTCCAGGCACCAATTTTTCCGTTTCGGGCCGTTTTGGTGACCTTTCTTTCGCCCTATCTCCACTATCACAGAAGCTACAGACTTCTTTCATATTGCTCTGGATAGTCCGAGAGTAGCTCCTTCATTTGACACGTAAAAACATGGCGTCATTGCACGCACATCGTTGTGACACGATTGCATTTCTAGTTACAATTTAGTTTTGTTTGTTTTTGTTTATGTGTTGTTGTGTAGTGTGTAGTAGTTTTATTTCTTACCTTTTACCCTTTTGTGTATGTGTATTTGTATTTGTATTTTGTATTGTATAAATAATATCTTAAATGTTAAATATTTCAGGCCTTATGTTCGTTTTGATCTAGTTTTTAAGTTGTTTTAGTTCTCTTATGGTATGTTGTTTATATAATGTCTTTGTTTTCTACAATGTATTCTATTTTTTGTAAATCTTTGTATGTACAGGGCTCTTTTGTAAAGCAGGCCTCTGGCACTGAAAAGACTACCCTGTTTTTAAATAAAACTGAATAAATAAATGTCTGGTAACAGAAGTACAATGTTTAGGTTTCTTCTAGTAAAACTAGAACCATGACAATTCTTGAAAGGTGCTATAATGCACATGTTTATAATAAGAAGAAATCATTTGTAATAATGAACTAGTCTGACTCTGAACTCTCAGCTGAGTCAAAACTAGGATTGTAGGTGTTCAGATGGAAACAGAAGTAAATGCTATTGAAATAAAAAGTGTTAGACACAGTTTGTTCAAACAAAGTAAGTATACACACCATTCACACACCGACATATACAAGTATCACATCTTGTAGAATTTTTACAAGCTCACCTGGCGATCTGTCTCAAAGGTTATCATCTCGTGGGTTCCTGATGTTATAGTAAGAAGATGTTCCATGACGTAGACATCCGGCTATAGAGCTGTTAATGACTGAGATGTTGAAAACATCGTATACCTGCTCCAAACGATTGTTGTTCTTGTGCAGTCAGTAAATCATTTGCAAGTAAGTATCCCCCATTATGGTTTAAATGCTGCGAGATCCAACTTTGACAAACTGATTGAGGTATATGTCATGAGTAGCTTTCTTTTTTCCCCTTTTGAAAATATTTTTTTTCTCGCCTGTTTGTAATGGAATAACATACGCCGGTGGTGCATAACAAAGATTGAGCATGCATTAAATTGGATGACACTTTATTTTTATTACAAAGATGATCTTTTCCGATGCTGAATTTTAAATGTCTATTAAAGACTTCCATACCCTATCGTAATGCAATTGTGTTTCAGGATCTTGCCTCAGTCGGTGTGGTACTTTACTCTTAGACATTATGCAATAATGGTGAAAATAATATTTTTCGTTTCTTAATATCAGCGTTTTCCTTCACACCATTGAAAGTGACTTGTATTTATTTTGTGACTGAAGATAATCCGATGAAGAATTTGTAAAAGGTTAGATTCTTTTAATTTAATTTGTATTGTCACAAGTGATTAATTTTAATGGATAATAAGAGGATTTTAGTCTAGTTATGTGTTATTTTTTCTTAAATTCTTTTTTTTTTAATTCTGGGGGGGGGGGAGGGGCGTGAAATGAAATACTATCCAGATTGATATCGGAGTTTTGTATTTGTCAAATTACTCATTTAAAATGTTTTTAATATAAAGAGAAACCAATAAACATAATTCTCAGATAAAACTTTCTATATAGGGGATACATATAGATGGTAACGGTATTTTCACACTGGTCTATTTTGCTCGAAACTTCCCAATAAGCTGGAAGATAGATGCCGATGTACAAAACATTTTATTTCTTTTTCGATAAAGAAAATGTTAAGATAATTTTCATCAAAGTCAAATCAGTGTAGGCTTCAGGCACTCTAATCAAAATAAAATGTATCAGTCGTTTTTATTCGAGAATAACGAAGCATTTACAAACATTTATGCGGAATATAAATAGCGCGATGTATGTGTTAATCATGGTACAATTTTAACGAACCACATTTATTACTATTTATTTCACAGCTAGGTCTACTCTTTATATATATATACATAGCTAATTACAATGTAAATGTACATATTAAAAGTGTAATTAATTCATTGGCAGTGTTCACCGGGATCATGATGATAATGAGAATAATTATATTAAATGTTTGTCAGCATTATATCGACTATACGTCTGTATTGATAGGCATACTCTGATATGATTTATTAGCCTGGCAGTATAACATCAATGAATACATCGCTGTTTGAATACCTAGAGAGAACAAACTAGCTCCTACTGCAGCTTATCTTGCAATGCCATAGTGTTACATCGGGCAGTGCATGAAGATATAAAACTAGATGAAATGGGCGGAAAGAGGTTTAACACACAGGTTGGTACGATGAAAAGAGACAGGGGCGGGTTGAAATTAAAAGGGGGGGGGCTGAGGGGTGGTTTGGAACATATAGGAGCGTGGTTTATCACAGGGGTGAAAACACATGATGGTTTGTTAGACGCCGGGGCGTACTTTGGTGGAGGAGTGGAGCAACAGGATAAGATGCAGTGGCGTGTTTTGGTGAAGGGGATGTAGCCAAAGATTAATATGGAGGAGTCATCGAGATGCTGGGTTGATTTGATAAGATGTTCATGCTGGATCAAATCAGTATACGTTGGTGTTTGCCTCCGTCAATGGGTGTAAAGGCAATCATGGCGAGGTTTCATGGTGTTATCAGAAATAGATTACGTACTCTTACATGCATTTAAACATGGTCTATGGTCTAATACCAAAACTTTAAAATCGCACTTGGCCTTTTCGAGGGGATCCACCCTGATATTCAGTTGGTTTTTATAAGAGCAGAAAAAATGAGAGGAACAGGTAAGTGGAAACTTTACCAACATCGAATTAAATTAAGCTATTTATGCATTCATGAAATTGCGACCAATTAAACCCAAATTGGCAACTCTATGACATATCATGAAGGTTCACTCCTATTTTTCTGACCTGTTTCTTCATGTTTCTGCTTACAAACTTGATATCAGGGTGGATTTTCCCCTTAATATAAATAAACATTTAATCTTTAAAAACACTTTCAGCATATCCAATTTGAAAGTGCGTGTTCAATATTTTTCTCACGTAATTTTATCTTTATAAAGTTATGATTTAAAACATGAAAATTCCTAGGTAAAACGTGATAAAACATTTGAGAAAATATCCTGATATACCTTCACGTACCAAACTTTCTTAAAAAGTAAGTATAACCATTAAATTCATGTGATCCACCTTTATGTTGTTTACATGTACATTCATTTTGGCGATCAAAGCCCAATATTCGGTGACTTTCTTACCCTGAAAGTGCTGTACCCCTATGGTTAACGCGAACCCTTCATATAATACAGTAATAAAGAGGAGTGGAAGGTAAATTTATGGTATGTCTGAATAAACAAATCACAATCGTCCATGAATAAGATGCAGGGTGAATTGTGAGAGGTCGATCACTTGATTATCTAATGGCTATCAACCATACTTATAACTGTCAAGCTTTTGTATGATGGATCATTATGCAATAAACATTGAATCACTGAAGCATCTTCTGGAGCTGCTCTGCATGTGATGTGTTGTAGCGACATCTCACTGAAGCAGGTATAAACACACCAAAAATATTAATCTTGAATACAATTACTACGAATAGCTTTCTTGTAAACTGAACATATTTTGAACTTTAAAAAAGAAGAGCATTCGAGAAGTTGTAAACAATGTGTCATTATTTAAATTGCTAAAAATACAGTCTATATTAAAGTTATTCCTTTATATACCGTTAGCAAACAATTATAAAGTATCAATTATTTGAAGTTTAAGGAATGGTAACCTTTTAACGTATATACTGCAGCAGATGCCTTCATAACAATATTCTGATTTTTTTTTCTTCTTTAGTTTGGTTATCTTTATCAGACAATAACAATGTAATACATGTATTAATAATCTTAAATATGTTTACATAACAGAGTGTTCACTTGCATATCAAAAATCCTAATATGCTGATGTCTTCTCGTTGACAATAACAACGAAGGTAACCGGGTAACCAACGACAGACAGGAATTAAATATCCCGGAGATACAGTCGGAATAAAATAGAAACGATAGATTTATTCTGTTGTCGGAGTTTTTTAAAGCTGATCAAACATGTTCAGAAACTCTGAGTAGATCTGGCGGGTTGCACTGGAATTCCTAATCACTATAACCTCAAGAGTGACTCAGACACAATAATAATAATAAGAAGAATAATCCGCTTTTATACAGCGCTTAATACATCTACGATGTCTCTAAGCGCTTTACAGATACTATTACCCCGGTCATTGGATTCAATACTTGCTCTAACACACTGTGTGCACAATCTCCACTCCCTGTGGAGCATTCCAGCCAGACATTACTTGACGCTCAAAAACTGATTGACCAACAATGATGGTCGCATCCTACCGGGTACCCATTTAACACACCTAGGTGGAGAGTAGCAAGTGCATGTTAATATATTGCCAAAGGATATTAGTGTCGGGTCGGGATTCGAACCCTCGACCTTCGCATCCCCATTCAAGCGCATTAAACCACTCGGTCACAACACTCCTATAAAGTTCACCTACAGGTTGAACCCTGGCTAGCTTGTGTAATAACACGATATAGACCGCTTCTACGAGACTGACTCTACAAGAAATGTCGGGTGGAATATGATAATCCGGTTTGGCTTGATTTGGCAAATATACACAATGCCAGACTTCATTATATTTACCATATTACTCTCACTCTAACCCTATAGTTCGACCCATGTAATAGGCATCTAGTGCAGTATCATATTGTTCACTTGCAGCGATGTCTTACTAAAGACCTATCATCTTTATGGTCATAACTACTAAGTCCTCAGCAGCTGAACTCGTCTTATATGTCGCACCTCCTTACAAATGGATTCTGTTGATAACAATTTCTGGCTTTTTGGTTCATAATATGAAAATCAAAAGAAGTCAATACTTCGAATCCAGTATTACTGTACACATTCTAAAGTCTTTCGCAATTCGCACGGTTCAGCTGTCTTCAATTCATACAACTGATATGTTTTCCCTAAACTGATCTCCTATCGGACTAGCCTTGCTGCATTCATCAATGACTTGGATTTCAATTTCTTCTTCAATATCTTGTTCATTTCCTTCCGGGCTACCTCGTCGTTTAGGTGGTAGTGATGGTGGTGGTGGTGGTGGTGGTGAGTGGTAGGATGTTATCATCATAGGTTTACATGATCTAGGATCTTTCTTAGGTGATTCCCCTTCCTCACGTATCTCTGATGGGATGTGATACCGAACTGTTTCCGGGTGAATAGGATGTACTACCTTAACACCTCCAACCGATGTAGCATGCCGTTTGGGATGACGTAGATGGCGCCCTCTTTCTGGGTCACTGATAGATCCAGGAGGCACTAAACAAACCGAGAAAACAATATATCACATGATCGGTTAATGTTTTATAGGAGCAGAAGATTTGCATTCGTACAATGTTTTATTTGTTTCGAAACAACTTTTCCTATCAAATAATCTCAAAAGTTCAACATTAGTCTAGGCACTGGTCTCGAAAGTACGGGTCACCCTACTAAACCCCTATACTTTGACCTCTTATCGTTACTGATACTATTTAAGTCTTTTTAAAAAAAAATGACGTCAGCCTAACCGGAGTCGCCATATTTAGCCTGTCGAGCTTACCAAACTCCCCCACCACATATCCTTCAAAACGAAACAGACTTACTTTATCCAAATGGCTGTTCATTGGTTGACTCACTTTGTATAATATGGACAGCTCTATTACATCCATCTACTATTACCTGTGTATTTTGTTTTACTATTAGTCTTCAACGCAGATACTTACAGTTATCGCTAGGAGTCCAAATGAGCTGAGGTCTCCCTCTTCGTCTGTAATAACCGTAATGTTTTCTCGTATCAGCGTCACTGTCTGTTACCCCGCTATGTGCAGCACTGAAACTTTCGTAAGGTAGAGAAATATAGCCTTCGGAAGGACTCGAAGGTGCTCGGTAGTGAATCGGATGAGATCGTACGGTTTCGGGTGAGCTGCTACTCGGAGTACCATGATGATGACGTGCATGTGGATGAGAGCCAGGACTGAGCAAAAAAATAGAATTGTGATATATTTATGTATGTTTCCAAATGACTGTAAAAATATTGGTAGAGGGAAGTAAAAGTAAATATTTGTAAGACGAGCAAAGCGTATGCAAAAAAGGTTCCCCTGCAAGTTATTTGTGTACTTGTACTGTCCAGGTTACTAGCTTCCCGGTACACGAGGTTCCCTGAAAATAATAACAGACTGTGCAGTAACATGACCTTTTTTAGTCGGTCGCAAAGGGCAATACAACATCATTTTTGCTAACGCCTAAGCCTCTGTTTAAATGTTAAGTACTTACTGCCTGTGTTTTCTTCCCGGTACACGAGCTGCTCTGATAACAGATCGTGCAGTAACATAACCTCGTCTTGGTACCCGGCGATTCGATCGGTATCGGCTAGGACGATACACGTGAATGCTTCCTCGTTCAGATGATTCCATCTCAAAATCCACATCACTCGACTCTTCGCTTGATCGAACAAGAGAGGGCGATGTAGTCAGTGACATACGAGCACGGTCACGTGGTCTGGCTCCTATACATGATTTTAGAAAAATATATTCAAGACAATGAGATTACAACTTGATCAAAAGTAAATTTACACATTACTTCCGCTAAATCTCATCTAAATATTTCTTTTCTTCTGTTTTTTTTTCTAGAAGACATAGATAATAACTAAAAACTGTAAGAAATCATTCATTGACAAGAAGAGCAACTGCTTCAAAATAAAATGATCAATACAATGCACTAAAAATTCATCTTTTTGCTCCTTTTTCTAGCAAGACCACCCCTCCCTTGATGACGGTGCCCTCTCAAAAATTCGAAGGGCCCATCACTCTTCACATGCATACCTTCCAGTGTATGAACATATCTCCTAGGTGCGTAGTGGTTAGCCTCGGGAACAGTAGGCATGGGTGGAGACGCAGTAAAGTTCCTGATCCCGTGTTCAACGTCGCTATTGGTCACTGAAGGATGATCACGTGATACATGTGAGCGGCTAGAGCTTGAAGCTGGTGAATAATCTTCTCGTTTCTTATTGGCGCATTGGATAAGCTCAAACTGCGCCGCCTCTATACGCATGCCGGTTGAGTATGCCCGCTCTAACTCTTCACGATTTGACGATTCATTTGTGGTAGACAGAGAACCATTGCTTGGTCGTTTGTTACCTGGTAATGGAAATGGGATGATTTGACAATTTGTAATAATAGTAATTTAAATTCCCAAGTGTATATCCCATAGAAATCATGTTCCGGTTACGTAATATGTCATTATTTGTTCGTACATTTCAAAAAGTGGTTGATAATGCTACTGCCATTGCTTCAGGTTGATTTTATCGAAGTTTCGATTACGTTGCCCTTTTTTTAATTGCATTCCTATCAAACGTGCACGGATCGGTTTCTATTACTTTTCTGACTTAATATCAATGTGGATTTCCACTTCGAGCGATGTAAATAGAATTGTTACTTAATCAATCAGAGGATTGACACTCATTAATAAATCTGCTTGAGACATGGACTAACTACTTTATTACTGTGCAATGAGATACCTCGTGATGGAGAGGAGGAACTATCTGCCTGTGACCCAGGTCCATCTGATTTACTTCCTGCGTGTACAGGTCTGACGTCATCCAGGCGTGCATACGTGTGATAACGACGACAATATCCTGAAAAAATTGTTTGTTAGAAAAAGGAATCAATGTGAATATGCCTCCTCGTGATGCATTCCAGCAATCTTATAACATAATCAAGAAACATTTAACAATAACGCACCTTTTCTATTTACATGTGAAACATTGATTCTATTCTTTGAAGAAAAAAAAAGAGAGAAAAATGTTGCCCTTTCAACAAAGCGTCATCTATAACAAAACTTCATCAAATAATGGTGACCTGCTCTGACACATCATCGTCAAATCAGAAACGATTCTTTTCATGGGATCTTTTGTTTTACTACTTTGACATTTTGCTGTTGTTGTTTTTGTTGTTATTGCTTACCTCTGTGAGCAATCTCTTCTGGAGGGATATCATAGAGTCGTTCATCGTGTATCATTAGACCACAGTCACTGAGACTAGCACTAGACCCATCAGATCTAAACGTACTCATACTGGGATAGATAGATCCATCATGATAGTCAAAGGTAGCGTATGGATCAGCTAGTCCGCGATGACGACGAGGCTCACTCGCATAATCACCTTCTTCTACAATGAACAAATAAACACATTGGAAAATTAGTAATCGCTTAGCAAAAACATAATTTGCAATACAAACAATTTCCTACAAACTGTATTTAAACATAAATGAATTAGATAATAATATTTGCAGTTAAGCAGCAAAATAAAATGGGGACAGAATATGCATGTAGTGATAGTTGTACCAATAGGAATAAGAAGTAGAAAAGAACAAGGACAAGACGAAGGAGAAGAAGAAGAAGAAGAAGAAGGGAAGAAAGAAAGGAAGAACAAAACGAAGAAAGGAGGATCAGCGAGACAAAGAAGCTAAACTTAGATTCTTAGATCATGATCACTTTGCATTACCTTCATCAGCATTGAATATCCAGGGTGTTTGTCTCACAGCTATTGTTTCAGCTCTCTCATAAGCTCCCAAGAAGGGCTCCCTCTCTGGTGGTAAGTGTACAGTGGGACGGTTATTGTTTTGCTGTCTGTGAAAAAGATAACAATGAAAGCTGTGTTGACGGCATCATCGCTGAGTGATACAGGGTCAATAATATCACTAAGCATCCTGCGTCATTGTCGTCATGCTGGTAATAAACCTACTTGTATTTCATTATCTTAGAATAAAGATTCACATTCGATAGCCATCCAACTATTTTGAATTTCTAGGCAAACATGGTAAATAGTATGACAGTTAATACTTACGACGGTGAGTTTCCATTGCTTTCACGTCCACTCAGCGTTTCAACGACGACATGTTGGGATTTGACCGACTTCTTACGACGTCGACGACAACCATGAATGAAGTAACTGATGAAACCGAGTATGACGAAGAGTGTAAGAATACCAAGGATTGGTCCGAACAAGCGAGGGTCTTCATAGAATGCTAAAGGTCTTGACGTGCTTTGTTTGATCGGAGGTGCTGTACCTGTTCATATAATGCATAGTTGAAAATAACATTATGAAGAAATGTACAATAACAATTACAAGCCACCTGCTATTATCTCATTTGTCTGAAGCCCCGTCTTTCTCTTAGCATGTTAAGCCTATTGTTTCTTCTTTAAGTGGACAGTATACTGTTTAGGACCAAATCGTTCTCTCTTTTTACACAACGAAACAAACATGTAAGAGCTGCCACGGAGTTGATAAAGAGGTACATGCTGTAACTACACTACCTATATGACCATATTCTTGCTCAATGAGCATCACCGAAAAGAGAACAGCGATGTAAAAGTAACAATATTTCCCCCGTGATCTTAGGTGATATGATATCGTTACTGGAGCCACGGGCCTTAAGAAATTTCTAAAAGATTCCTCCCTCTTTAATTTTGACGATACCGGATCCTCCTCTATTAATAAAGAGGCGCTTCTCTTGAATCCGCCAAATCTCTACACTAGGACTGAATTTGTAGGGGGAGGGCAAATTTATAGAGACACCTCACGTAGTTAATTAACTAAATACGGTATAACTCTTAAAGATATACTATACCTGATCCACTGAATGCTACGGTAGAGACCCGGAAGGGGTACACGCTCGGACCAGCTGTATTCACTGCTGTGACCCGGAACTGATACCAGGTCAAAGGTCGAAGGTCATCTACTGTATAATCTCTCGTATTTCCAGGGAGATTATTTGCAATATTCTCCCAATCATCTACCCCTAGTACCTGTAAGGTAGGTAACGAAATCATTATGACTCATTAAAGTGTAATACTACAAGGTCATGGAAAATAAGAACATAGTTTGCTTCAACGTTGCAAAGCAAGTTTTCCTTTACTTTCATTTGTATGACTTTTATTTTGTAGCGTGGTCATGTTCATGAGATTCTTTAAACATTAAAGCAAAGTATTTGTTTTTGACGAGGCAGTTACCCATACGGGTGTGTAACTATACCATCGTGCATCACACTCACAGATGAAGTTCCAGAGCCCCTCTTTCAACCCACTTCAATTATAAATGTCAGGTACGATGCACGGCAGGATTGGTCTGTTTTGATTATCGATTATGACCTTGATTTGGCACAAATCGAATAATACTAATGTAACAGAATAGTGTTAGAAATCTAAACTAGCTCCAAATATTCAATATATTTTAATCTCCTTCAATTTTGAAATGTGTTTACTCCAGCCTGATGCGAATTACAACTTGAATTGAATATTGAATATTGATAAATGTCAGGGTTTTTCCCAGTGAGTCGTTATAGAACTTTCTCCACGCCATGACATCATTTTGTAGTAAACAAATCCGTTTTCCCAAAGAAAAAACATGAGAAGGTGTATGGTGCATGTTGACCTAACATTCAAATCAGATTCCAGACTTGAACATATCTTTGGTTGATTTGAAATGAAATTCAAAGTATGAACAACGAAATATTGACAACACCAATTTTAGTTCTGTACATATTTAGAAAATTAAAACTCGGAAATGGTTAAAAATAGATTGATTTAGAATTGATAAAAGTAAGATTTTGAATCCAAACCTGGTACTGAATGCTATAAGACTCGATGGGGCATCCACCACTCTGCCAGCTGGCCAAAACCAATGTAATACTGGAAGCATTAGTGAATGGTACGATTTTATCCGTTGAGGGCGGTATGGGAACTAGAAGACAGAGAAGGGTGAGAACAATAGCAAAAATATAGTACACTTCTTACACATATCAAGAGATGAAATATATCAAAGGAAAGTTATAACCTCAAATAATACTCAATGGTTTCCAAGTAAGTAAGAACTTCGGAAAAGCTCAATATAAGCGAAAGACCGACAATTTTGGAAAATGTAATGCACAAGACTACTGATAAGAAACAAACCCCGATTTGATGACGTCACGGGAGGCTATTTCTTTGTGCCATGCTTATTGAAAGTGAATATCAGTATGGTATCAAAAATACAGTATTTTAATGTGGAGCTTCTAACATAAATTTTAACTAGTTAAAAACTGGCGAAATATGCAGTTTTACTCAAACTTCAACGACCCAAGTAAAATTGCAGTAACATGATCCAGTAAATATTCTCGGTTTAAACGTGAACGTTTCCTGTTCTGTCTAATTTAAGGACACCTTTATTTATTTGGAATATATGATATGTGAGTGTATACCATTCAATCTTTCAACGTGTGACTGCACTTACAATTCAAAATTCTGCAAGTATAATAGGTCTGTTTTGTATTTATATTAGTGAAAATGAAAAATGAAAAAATAAATTTCTCAATAATTTAGAATAAAAATGCTAACTTGAGCTTTGTAACTTTACCAATAATATTACTCTCTTATTGCATTTGTATGTTTTTTATGACTTGGACATTTAGTATGAGTCTAATTGTGAAAGTTTCAATTTTCATAATTTCCAAGGCTTAAATCTATTTGTGATATTAGTAATAAACTTTATAAAAATGTACTTACTTTCTCCTTGAGTGCTGACTGAGAGTATATCACTGGGTTTACCCACACCCAGCTTGTTACGAGCTGTGATATAAAACCTATATCCAGTACCACATAGAAGATCAGTAGCACGGAAACTACGAAGAGAAGCATTCACATCAAAACGTTCCCATGTCTGCTCGTGTGTCCGTTGATAGAGTAACTGAAAGGCTGTAATGGGAAATTAAGATATGATTAACGTTCGACTTATTTCTAGTTACACAATGTGAGTGTTTGGAAGGAAACGTATGTCAACTCCCAATATCTCAACGAAGTACAATCTCTAATAGTAACTTTTGTAAAAGTGTGAAGCACATATAAAGGCCTTTTCTGTGAAGCTACTCAGATTTATAAAAACGGTGGTTACAACAAAGTTTAATAAATCATACAAATAATGTGAGTGTTAAGAATTCAAATATTTGGGAAATAAGCAAAAGTGTGTTGGATGTAATTCTGTGGCAAGTTAGCAAACAAATGTGGGAAATTTTGAAGATTTGGACACGACTATTATATCAGTCGGATAATCAGACGTTATAGCCAATACCATGATCCTTTATTATTGTTTTTTCGATTTTCTACTTTACCATCCACTACTAACTTTTAATATGTTAGTCTTTCACAGTGATATCTTTCAGTTAACTTACCTACAATCGACGAGCCTCCATTTCCGGTTGACCTCCAGTTGACCTTGATTGCGTTGTTAGATGTTGAGCCAATGGTAAGTTGTGGTGGATTAGGAGGGGCTATTAATATCAATTATAAAGGAAGTCATATTTTAGAAAATATACATGAACTCAATTGATGAATTTGAAATATGACGCACTAACTAAAGAAACTGAAACTTAGTGGAAAAGCCCTCCCGAAGAAGCAACTTTACTTATTCTGAGAGATTTATTGTATTGTTGCTAATTAATCTGCAAGATTCCCCGTCAACGTGGATGAACGCGGTATAAAAAAAAAACAATATTCTTAGCGTATTGTTAAGTTTCTGGGAACTGCATGGGCATCACCATTTTCATGGTAACGTGACGTACTAGGTGAAGTCGTTTATGTAGTAAACGTATTCAAATTGATTGTTGCCTGCTTCCTTCCCACGTGTGTGCTAGTATATCTTTTGTACCATAATAGTCAAATCGCAAACTGCATAATATAAAGTGGTGCTCTTCTGGGGGTAAAGGATCCCCAAAATGAATTAGATTTGTAAATTGCTATATGCTGGTATTTTTTAAATAAATGACTTATGATTATTTCCCTAATATATATTTTTCACCAATTTTTTTTTCTTTCTCGCCTTCTCAGATAAGATTTCCCCCTTATCAATGGTATGGGTTTCGTTTTTTAATTTAAACGTCTATCCTACCCTCAGGGTTGCATGATACAGTTACAAATGCACCTATTATCAAGAAGATCGCTGCGCCTTATCACGTTAAAAGATATTACTTATGTCAAGAATATCTTCATTTATAAATCTGTTATAAATGATCGTAAGGAATATGGGAGATCAATAAGCAGGAAAATTTCGTTCTTCAGCATTCCTTAACCCTTTTTTTTTTTGGGGGGGGGGAGGGGGGAGGGGGGTGAAGTTTCCTTTAAACACAGCCTAATTTTAGCATTCCTATTATAGGTGCAAAACTATGAACTATTATTTAACTGTAAGTGCGAGTGATGAAAAACAATAAATGTTATCTGGGGTAAGGATTAAAAATAAGATGCATACAATATGAGAATCTTTATAAGATGTCATTTGAAACTATTAACTGTATTTTTCCCGTGAAATCCTAAAGGCATCATTCAGATGTTTGTTATACACTAGAGTAATGCAGTTGACATTGATAAGTGAAAAGGTAAAATGCGAGATACTCACATAAAATAAATAAACTCAAATTGAATCAGCTTACATTCGATTTCAATGTGTTACTTACCACGTGGAGCTCTTAATCATTATGTGTGCAAATATTGATTTATTTACTTTTCAAAACAAAAATTCAAATACCATATTCCACTTTCAGAGTAAATAATCGAAACATGAAAATAGTGCAGAGTTACATTTCATATAGCTTTAAATTCATAATCATGCAAACATCATACATGCAAGAACGTGCACAACAAGATGGATACCTGTTAAAATGGCAGTGTAAACAAAACTTTTATTAAATGATAATGTAATCTTATTTAGCTATTAAATACATTTCAACTTAGATAAAAGAGAACATTGTGGTCAGCCAATCCTGAACAGAAACATCTCCGTTAATTGCATACCCATTCAATTTATTACTAGGACTACTAATGTCCCTTGGGAAATGGTTAATTACCTGAATAAGGCTGAAAGGGAACTAGTTGGGGTGACGTGGAAAGGGTTCGGGAGTCCGAGTGTGGAAATTAGATTGGGGGAGTTAGAGTGTGGGAGTCCAGGTGTCAGTCAGGCTGTGGGAGTCCGGGTAAGGGATTCAGAGTGTGGGAGTCCAAGTGTGGGAGTCAGAGTGTGGGAGTCCAGGTGTGGGAGTCCAAGTGTGGGAATCAGAGTGTGGGAGTCCAAGTGTGGGAAGTCCGAGTGTGGGAGTCCAGGTGTGGGAGTCCCAGTGTGGGAGTCACAGTGTGGGAGTCCAGGTGTGGGAGTCAGAGTGTGGGAGTCCAGGTGTGGGAGTCACAGTGTGGGAGTCCAGGTGTGGGAGTCCTAGTGTGGGAGTCCTAGTGTGGGAGTCAGAGTGTGGGAGTCCAGGTGTGGGAGTCAGAGTGTGGGAGTCAGAGTGTGGAAGTCCAAGTGTGGGAAGTCCGAGTGTGGGAGTCCGAGTGTGGGATTAAGAGTGTGGGATTCCGGGTGTGGGAGTCACAGTGGGGGAGTTAGAGTGTGGGAGTCCAGGTGTCAGTCAGGCTGTGGGAGTCCGGGTAAGGGATTCAGAGTGTGGGAGTCCAAGTGTGGGAGTCAGAGTGTGGGAGTCCAGGTGTGGGAGTCCAAGTGTGGGAATCAGAGTGTGGGAGTCCAAGTGTGGGAAGTCCGAGTGTGGGAGTCCAGGTGTGGGAGTCCCAGTGTGGGAGTCACAGTGTGGGAGTCCAGGTGTGGGAGTCAGAGTGTGGGAGTCCAGGTGTGGGAGTCAGAGTGTGGGAGTCCAGGTGTGGGAGTCCTAGTGTGGGAGTCAGAGTGTGGGAGTCCAGGTGTGGGAGTCAGAGTGTGGGAGTCAGAGTGTGGAAGTCCAAGTGTGGGAAGTCCGAGTGTGGGAGTCCGAGTGTGGGATTAAGAGTGTGGGATTCCGGGTGTGGGAGTCACAGTGTGGGAGTCCAAGTGTGGGATTCAGAGTGTGGGAGTCCAGGTGTGGGAGTCCAAGTGTGGGAGTCAGAGTGTGGAATTCAGAGTGTGGGAGTCCAGGTGTGGGAGTCCAGGTGTGAGAGTCCAAAGTGTGGGAGTCCAAGTGTGGGGGTCAGAGTGTGGGAGTCAGAGTGTGGTGGTCCGAGTGTGGGAGTTCGAGTGTGGGAGTCAGATTGTAATTAAGAGTGTGGAATTCCAGGTGTGGGGGTCAGAGTGTAGGAGTCCAAGTGTGGGATTCAGAGTGCGGGATTCCGAGTGTGGGAGTCCGAGTGTGGGAGTCCAGGTGTGGGATTCGTGTAAGAGTCGGATTGTTTGAGTCACGATGTGGAAGTCAATGGTCGTATTTTGTGTGTGGGAGACAGATTGTGGTAGTCAGGGTTGATAGTTGTAGTACGCTGTATTGATTGTAATTGTTTTATTTCCATGATAATAGTAAGAGGTGACGGTCATGAAGGGATATTCTTCGGCCTACAAAACAACATTTAAGCACTAAACATCGTATGATGAGAGAACAACACAGAGACAGTCATCTAATATTTCTACACGTTTGTCTAAAACGAAATTTTAATGAAGAAATAACAATGCTTGATCAAAACCTACCATATAATTTAGTATTTGTCTTTCAATTAAACAATTTTTTTAAAGCTAATATTTCAGACACATGGCTAGTCACAGTGATATGAAAAGGGTAGACCTATCCAACGTTCTTAATTTTGAATGCATTTATTAGAGTATGAATTAAATTTTTCACCTAGAAATTGGATTGCAGATGAAGAAAGCCTTTTGTGGGATAGGATTCTACTGAGCAAATTATAGCAATGGTTATCAGATCAAACATGTTTTTTCTTTACATCAAGCTATTCAAACATATAATATATCGTCTATAGAAACAGAGAGAAGAAGGGCATTAAGGTTTAGCTTACATAGTGTTAACGCTCTTCTTGCTCACACATACCAATTTGTCTCATGCGAACCAGAAGGTGTTTTTATTCCGTCTCGACGAAAGCAATGTATTGTTGTATCAATTTGAATGGTTCAAACTGGTTAAATCTAGTTTAAACTGGTTGAAGAGGTTGAAACTGTCCAAATCGTGGAGATGCGGTAGAAGGTTGTATTGTAGGGTATACTTGAACAAAATGGGAGATTAATGCTCTAAAATCCCTTTAAATCTATTTAGTCTCATACACATTATTCGCCGGAACGAATAAAAGGCATTTTGGTTCACAGTAGATAATGAAAACATTTGTCTGAAATGAGTGATGGAAGCAATGAGGTACTTACTACCCGTAGTATCGTTCACCACTGCATCGGGCGTGACGTCAGAGAAATATGCAAATTAGGTCAAGTCCAAACCATGCACAATGTAATATATTCACACGTTAGATATTGTCATATGGGCTGATAAATCAATTAATTCTTTAATGAAATCATGCAAAATGTTTATAAATCATGCGGGTTGGGGAGGAGCATGCACGTTTTCTATATTATAATACGTTTCCCTCATGCTTCATGCATTTGATTAAATTACATTAGAAAGATTTTATCGATTTATCATGTTTAATATTATCATTTTCCCCATGATGTGGCCTACACATGCAAGATCACAGCAAGCTTTTATAACATAAGTTAATTATAGATTCAATATTCATGGAAGTTTATTCAATTTAAGTTTTCAAAAGAGGGAAAGTAATTATGTTCATGCAAGTACATAACATGCAGCAATCCGTCCATGCCTGCACCAGTTCAGCATGCACTGGTGCGCATGCGCATGCATTAACCGTTTTCTCTGCCTACTTACCCAGTACTTGAACCCGTACAGTAATAGAATCTGAAGACCCATATTCATTGATCGCACGACAGGTGTAGTTTCCTGCGTCCGTTGACTGCACTGATTGGATGACGAGAGATCCATTCTCCAGGATATCTATTCGTCCGTCAGGTTTTAACACGTTAGGCAACCTGCAGTCAAAATTAGACATCATCGTTTATCTTCACAGTCTGGTTCTACAACTTTAGGTAATCTGCAATCAGTCTGCTCTTAAAACATGACGCAACATGCAATCAACAAATGACATCGCATAAATATTCAGACCATGTAATAAACACGTAAGGAAATCTATAATTGTATACTGACATTATTTGGGATTAAGAATAACCGCAACTTCTTGCTGTTTAAACTTCTTCCTCCTGTAGTAATACTTCGAACCCAAAACTCTGTTTGATTAAAAGAAAATTCTCAATCTGCATCATAATGTAGCTGCAGTATTTTATACATCAATATCCAGCTAAGTATGAATATTCTATTGAGTCTAGACCTTATTCATAACCCTATGTATTATGTCTAGCTGTGGTCGTAGCTTACCTGTTCTTCTTCCATTCTACAGTGAGTACAGGGTCTCCTACCGGAAGACAATCTAAGGTCACGCCTCGTTTCCAGGGAGTCATTAAGGTCGTTGAGAAGGACATGATGCGAGCCGGTACTGAGGAAAATAATCATTTCCATTTGTTTATTATTTTACATGAATGAAAGATGTACATGTACAAAAACCCAGATTGCTTTGTTTAGATTTACAAAAATATAGTCTGCGTGTAAATATTGTATTCCTTGATGATATATAAAAATTGAAACCTCGGGAAATCAGAATCGCTTTAAGACCTTTTTATAAGCTCTCATAATTACGAAATGCACTATAACGCCTTTGCGTTAACACAAAAATCACCTTCGTATTTTATTACTCAGCGAGTTTAGATAAACAATACAATCATATAAATTGTTATAACCAATTATATAATTTGAATTTCCACTCGTCCTCATGCAGGTTTCAAAGGAAAATCTTACCTCTCGACATGGGTATTTCAGTAGCGATTCGACTTGACTCTCCCTGTCCCGCTATCGTGCTTGCCTTTACCCAGAAGTCATACTCATAATCCGTCTGTAAGTCTTCAACTAGATAGTAATACGTGGTAGGATCCAGCTCCTTCTCCTGACGCACCTGTCGCAAAATCAAGATCAAAGTAGCTTCATTCAAGTGCCGCATACATTACATTTCATGACTATGAAATAATACAACGTTGGCCTACACAAAGATTAGGCATCCGGTTAAGGAAATTCATTGGTGCGAAGGTAGGCTTTACTTTAATCTTCAATAGGTATATCGTAGCTCTACTTCCCGCTACCTGACGGAAGACAATAACGAACATGTCGAAGGAATCAGAGACGTTAAGGTCGATTATTTGGAGTGAATTAGTTATAAACAACAGCATTTATATTCCCGCCATTTTCTTGATCTGAATTTTCTCGGCATGTGGAAGATAGTTGACGAATGTCAAAACTACCACCAGTAAGTTTCAAACACGCAATTCTATAATTATTTCATAATTATATTGTTTGTATATTGAAATGTTATCAAATATATAGATTCCAACCCTTTGGATGAATGATTTGTTCTAACCTCGTTTTCCCCTTCTCGATACTGGATGTTAAGATGATAGTGTGTTATGATTCCATTGAGATAAAGTGGAGGAAGCCAAGACACCATGATACTGGTAGGGGATGCAGCATGAGCCTTGATATCAGCTGGTGCTTCAGGAACTGGAGAGAGAGAGGGAGAGAAAGAGGAGAAGTACTTCTGGTAATTGCTCATTATTTGCTTTATAACTACTTCAAACTGCAAACAAAGATAATGATTCGTGCATGATCTAACAAAACCAAAGTTTCAGTTTAAAAGAATACATAAATTACGATTTCAGGACAACTGCCTGCTGGTCCTGGACCATCACCTCTGGGTAGGATGTGTCCGGTGAGAGCACTTGTCCAGATTGTATTTTGTCCGAGGGTAATTCTTCTGAAACAAATGTCCTATGGTCGTTGTGCAGATACGGGAAGGATAAGTTTTAAGGCTTGTATGAATAGTCATTTGACTACTTCCTCGTATATTTTCATAAATCAAATAGAATTTATAATAACATGACTTACATCGCAGAACAAAACATGACTTTTTATTTTTGCATTTTTCTTACCAAACCGAATCTCAAACTACAGCGTATGATTTGTTTCCTGTATAGCCAACACACATTCTTGGTGACCTTCATCCTCGTACTCTACTATACTCAACTCTACTGTTGATCATTCTTACCATCTTGTTCTGTCCTTACTATCTTCTCTTCGCTTCTCACTCCTTCCCCGACCCGTGTATGAGCAACAACTGATAAACTGTAATTGGTGAACTTCTGTAGGTTGTGCAGCTCAGCAAATAACTCCGTCGTTTCGTAGATTTGGTAATCCAGCTCGTCTTCAGAAAAAGATATATTAGACAGAAAAAAACCTTGATGTATTTAACGTCCCAACTATTAAAGCATACTTAAAGGGAAAACGAGTAGGCTATTTTGTCCGACCCTTTTCCCCTACCAAGAAAACCAAAACCAAATTAAATTATAGGATATCATTTGCGACTCATTCATCATTATATTGATCAGGAAAACATGACAAACATTTTCTTTAAATAAAAAGCCACTGGCAAGTCTAAAAGAAAAATATTGCATTCTAAAATTGGTTTTCATAGGGATAATATTGCAATTGTCATAACAAATCTAAACTTATGATGGTACATCGGTGACTATGGTAACACCTCCGTTTTCTCTGATTGGTCTGTAGTAGACTCTGTTTCCATAGTAACCTACCTTCGTTCTCTCTGATTGGTCTGTAGTAAACTCTGTATCCTTGTAGTATTCCATTCAAAGACACTTGATCAGGTGCATTCCAGAAGACCATAATACTTGTAGACCCGACTGATCTCGCAGACACATCATGCGGAGCCTCACTGGGAACTAGAATGGAGATGGCAAGTGGGGAAAGTTTGATTGTTAAATAGGGAAAGATCGTTTGAAATAAATAGGGGAAACACGTAGATATATACATAGCAATAGACAGATAAGGAAAGATATCGGGGAGTAACTGAAAATTGGGAGACACGAAGGTATTTCGGGACCTTCAATTTATGACACTCCAGTTTATTGATCAAACAAGAAAAAGTATCAAACATTGGCCTAAGAAAGCGTCATCATTATGAATATTTGTTATTTATTTAGTTTCTACACTTTTCCAGATACAATAACTAAATAAAAGAGCCCATATAAATATGTATATATAATGTATATATAGTCGTTACTCGGGTTCTTTAAAATGAGCTTAGCTGAAGCAGCATTAAAAATAATAATGCGTGTTCCCAAATAAATGTATTCTGTTTATCTTCATTATCTTAAGATACGTAACATTTTTTGTGTGCAAATTATCAAATCAGATAATGTGATCTGCCGCGGGAGGAGGGGTATGAGAGAGGATGAAAATGTGTTTTGCCTTACCATCTTCAAGGGTAGTAACAAACTGTTGAGGAGACCAGGGCCCAACATTGACACGATTATAAGCCCTCAGTTGAATAGTATAGCGCGTGAACTTCTTGAGATTAGTGAGTGTACGACTCTCAATGTAATTAGTCTCAACTGGAACTATTCGAGATTGAAAGGGTGAATCTGGATCACAATACTGAATGTGATATCCCAGTAGAAAACCATTCTGAAGGTCTGCTCGAGGTTGCTATGGATCGGAAGAATAGCATGATAAATGATGAAACAATGATAACACAAATAAATTCATGTATAATCAGTATTACGACAATGGAATTATAGTGGTGATATTATGGTATTATAAAATGTTAATATTTAAAAAAGATGATATCAGTTAATGCAGTGGTTTAACGTTTACACATGAGCCTCTCTATATACCTCAGAAAAGAAAATAATAATCACAAGGTTTCGCATTTGTATTTTATTTTTCAAATTGGAAAGGGAAAACCATAATAATAACAATTGGATCAATTTATATAGCGCAGCTACTATATAAATATACTTTACTGCGCTGTGATGAAGAAACAAAATATGATTTCCATTTTTACCGATAAAAAATAGAATGTGAATTATAGATGGAACACATTGAATGCTTACCCTCCATGTTATCTGAATGCTTTGAGAACTCAAGGCTTCAATCTCAATGTTCAAAGGAATCCCAGATGGTGCTGAAATGAAAAAGTGCCATTCATATGTGATTGCATATATAAATAATACCAGTCCATGCGGGCAACTACACAATGGCACTCATACAAACTTCGTTATTACAGATGTTTTAGAGCGATATTGTATGGGTTTGTGTTCTATCTCTATTCCTGACTTTAGTTCTTATCATAAAATATATGTCCCATTAACAAGCAATATGCAACAAGACAATATTATATTTGTAAAGCGCTTAGAGACATTTGTATTAAGCGCTATATACAAATTAAATATTATTATTATTATTATAAAATACGACTAAACTAGTCCCAGATTTAGCGCGTGCGAGGTTCTTTTCGCTATTGTTTTTCCCCTCACCTCAGTTCCACTCTCTCTCTCTCTCATTTTCTCTGATTGGGATCTGTTTCACCCACTTCGATCAACGGACACATGTCCCCTTGTCCTTTCCCGTATCTACGCTACCCCTCAAATATACCAACCTTCTTCTTCCGTATCAAAGAGAATCTCTTTGCTGGGATCACTGATTCCAATCGCATTGAAGGCGAATATCCTCACATGGTATGTGTATGCAGGATGAAGATGCTTGATGCTGTATTGATATCCAATCAAATCCGCTGGTACATGTTCCTGGGGGAGACCCGTTTGCCATGCATCTAACAAAGAGAAACATATAGGCATTTTATTGTTATTTTTTAATACGAGGTAAATATGTGAAGCGATACGCAACGCCATTCATTCATAAATTTATTTTTATTACGTCAAAATCGCGCACTGAATTGACAGGGAAGCTGAATAAAGATTGATTAAAGATAAAGGTGAGTTCTGGTAACGTGATTGCATTGTGAAAGAAAGGTGTGAAATGCATCATAAAGAGTTGATCATGTAGCATGTGAGTATTGGTGTGTACTGCAAGGTTCTGGAGTCATCAAATTCAATACAATTTGGCTCAGTCTTGGTAAAGTAACAAGCACACTACACAGAAAGATGTATATGGGACAACCCAAATGGTGTCGGGGCTAGTACTACTTGATTTCCTTATCTTTCTTTGCTCATTACTCAGCCAGTATACATTTTCTTCCAAAATTGTTTGGCACATGACATTTGTTTGTAATCTTGAACATTCAGTGTAAGTTTCGTTAGATTCTGCGAGAATTGATTTTCTTTTTTTAACCAGAACTCAAGTTTATCTTTAAGCTTTTGCAGTAATTCAATGTTTTTTACATTATGTACAGGTTGTATTCTATTGTTTTGCCTTGCATACTTGTTTAATGATGTACATACATTTTGTTGTTGTTAATAAACTTCAAACTTCAAACTTCATTCAATCAACAATATACGCACTAAGAACCGTTCGACCGGTGCAGGAAATGAAGGGTGTCATGTGCCATGAACGAGTAACGATATATCTATCCTACAAGTATCGAAGTATTAAGTTACTCTCACCTGATGCGTTCTTGTATTCAAGTGTGAAACCCGTCACAGGACTGTTGCCATCAAATGATGGTTGCCATGACAATAACACGCCCCTGCTTGTCTTGTTAACAACGTGTAAGTCAGTAGGGGGCTCGGGCTTTTCTGTAAGAAACAAAAGTAAAAAAGAAATTGGCAAGATCCATCTTCCTTGAAGTGAATGTACAATATCATTACAGAAAACTGACACTTTTTAATGTATGTATTTAGGCCCTAATGTCATATTAACAACAGTATCAGAAAGATTTTAATCTAAATTATATTTTCCTTTTGATTTTGAGATGCAGAAATCTATCTTCTGTGATTCATCCTAAAATCACGCCCTCTATATGTTCTCAATATACAGCCGTATCTTTTGTTGAAGAACGTTTTTTTTGTTTGTTAATGAATAACGTTTTTCAAAGACCATTCTCGGCTTCATATTATACATGAAATTATTGTTAAGAATTTACATATGATTAGTTTTAAGACGACCTGCATAGCACAACGTTGATAATACCCGTTTATCTGGCATCAAGTGGTAGCAATGCTTAACGTGATTAAATAATCCATGTCGATAAGATGCGGGGTTCCCCAAGGAAGCATTTTAGGCCAAAATCACCTCTAGAAATACTACGTGAACATGAAAAGAAGAATAGTTGAGAAAAGCCCAGACTTCGTGGGAATAAGTTCCCTGAGTAGACGTCACTACCTTATGAACAAAAATGTATTTAGTGAGTGAGTCATACCTTGTACCCAAAGCTGGATAACATGTTCATCAGCACCATGTAGATTCTGAGCCAGACAGATATACGTGGCTGTATCATCACGTACAGCAGAGAAGATAGTCATACTAGATAGTACACTATCCCCATCAGTCACTGTCTCGATGTCATAGCGTGCAGTGGTTAGTCGATTGAAAGGGACATCATTCTTAGACCACATGATCTCTAGAGGTTGATGACCTGTAGCTATGCATTCTAATGTGATACTCTCAGTCAGCTCTACAGTCACGTTCTGCTGCTGCTGCTCAAACGTAGCAGGTACTAGACATAAAACATACAGAGTTCATGTAATGGGTGTTATGAATAGGTTTCCACCTAAAACAAATTATGATCTTGAAACATTGAAATTCCAACGTGCGTAAAGGGAAGGAAATATAATTATTCTATAGAGAGATGCAATTAGTGCTACATATGTGCTTAGTTAAACGAGTAGCAGGTAATACATTTTCCTTTTTATTAACATTTGAAAACAAATTATTGTCGTCGTAAAGTGAACATGTATTTGCATTCTAAAGCATACATAAGAACATAATTATTGGAGGAGACTAACGCACATCTATCTCTTTTTTCGAGTTTCTAGTATGATCCAAAAGAAAATGATTTAGCTTCATACCAAAAACAGTAAGTGTTGCTGTCTTGCTCTCCATCCCGACGCTGTTACTGATGTGACATAGATAATACCCAGCATCCTCTACGCGGGCTTCTCTGATCACAAGAGATCCATTCTCCTGCATCTCAAACCTGGGGTCATCCGGGAGGTCACGGAAGTTTGTTGTCGTAATTGGACCTGTCATGAAGTCAATAATGAAATAGTTCTATATCAAAAACGTCAGCAAAGGACACAACTGAAGCAATTAACACAACAAATTGAAACGATTTAACACTACTATAAGTCTTTCAGGGTGGATCTAAAAAATAAAAAAGAAGAGAATAACCAGTATTAATGAAATATAGAAAGAGTTTATAGCGAATGGAAATATCATTACGAAACTATGTAGAGAGAGAGAGAGAGAGGGGGTGTGGGGAGGAGGAAAAGGGGAAAGATGATGAACGTTTCGGTTAACAAGGAGAAGAGAGATAGATGAAGTTCTTACCAGGGGCTTTCTTCCATTGTACATCTGGATTTGGTTTACCATTAGCCATACATGCAATCACTACGGTATGGTTGAGGACTACCGCTGTGTTATGAGGTTCCACTACGAATCGTGGTGGCACTGTGAAGACATGAATACAACAGAGACATTGAGTATTAAAACATAGCTGCCAACATTAAAGGTGTCTTGAAAACATTTTGCTGCCATTAGCTATTCTCGCAAAAAGAAAGGCGCCATTGCAAGTTAGGTCTTGCTAAGAAAGAATGAGTAGATATGGCGCCAATTAATGTTGGTCACTTTGGATTCCTACCATAATCATCATACAGGGGGTGTTTCACAAAGATCCTAAGTTGAACTTATCTCTAAGTTGGACTTAAAATAGTATGGAGAGCCATTTGTAGCCTTATAATGAAATATATTCAAAAGTAAAAATTCAAGTATTCTATACTTTTCATGAATTCCACATCAAGAACATGAAATCTCCAATGAAAATAGAAAAAATGAATGATTTGAATCAACATTTTATACCTTGTAAAATAACTTTTACAACATGTTTCAAAGATGCTAACGGCTTTCCATAATATTGTTAAGTCCAACTTAGAGATAAGTTCAACTTAGGATCTTTGTGAAACACCCCCGTGAAGGCTGAACCGAGCTGCATTAGGTTCAAGTATGAAGTAAAGATAAGATTGACGAAGGGTAATCACATCCTTAATTTAATGATATGAAAGACAAAACCATTACCATAATGGTAAAAAGTAATCATACTATTATGACAATAGCATACTCCAACCATTATCACAATGGTATACAGCAATCGTAACCTTTAAATCATAATGACATAAGGTAATTCTTTCTTTTACCTGTATCATGGGGTATAAATCAATAAGAGAATCCTGCCTCATAAGTGCAAACAGGAATGGTCCTTACCAAGGAACATGAGGAAGCAACATTCTGTGTATTCAAATGTTATTGAAATGCCGGGACATTGTCTTCTTGGCATAAGCAACAAGAAAAGACATATTACCTTGTATAGTAAGAGCTGTTGTATAGTTGACTGCAGCAGCCAAGTTACTTGCTTCACATGTGTAACGACCATCATGCACAGTAGAAGCATCAGCTATTAACAAGGAACTAGAGAACGTGCCATTTACAAACTCAATTCCGACTCCATGAGGAATAGTCTCACCATCTTTAAGCCATCGGAAGTGAATAGGGTAATCACCACGTGTCACGATGCACATCAGTTGAGTTCGTTGACCTTGTCGAAGGGTGAGGGGTTCGATGGGTTGAATGACCGGAGGAACTGTGGGGTGCATACAACAAAATTAGACTTTTCTTTAATCAAACTGTACTTGGTGGAATACCAATACCAACAGTATATTGACTGTATTTCCATTACTATAGAGGGCGATAGACCTGTATTCTGTCTTATAGGGATGAATTCTAAGGAGAACCTTCGTTCAGTTTATCCCGATAGTAAGACTTCCCAAGACTTATTTACTACCGGCAAAACAAGTTTCAAAGTGTTTTTAACTACAGGCTCATGTATTTCAATCAGAAATGGCACATGTAAATATCAACTTCCTTTTATATATACACCAGATGGAAAGTAGCAACTGTAGTTTCTATCTGACATGTTTCCATGCAAGCAGAGTCAAATATATTTTGTATTGACAAAGAAAGAGAGAGAAAAAAAAATTGATTTAGGGATATGTTTAATATTATAGTATACCTTTGACAATGAGGTCCATATCAGATGCTGATCGATCCCCACGAGCGTTGCTCGCCACACACGTATACTCTCCACCATCTCCATAAGATGTGACGTCAGCAATGACGAGAGTTCCATTTGGAAAGACATTGTGTCGCATAGAAGACGGTAGAGTAGTTAAACCTTTGTACCACGTGATAGATGTGATAGGGAATCCAACGACGTGACAATGAATGGAGACATCAGTGCCATCGATAGCGATAACATCCGGTAGAGGGCGTACTAAAGGACGACCTAAATCATAAAGATAATATTATTATTTGTAGGCAAGTTCAACTTTTCACGTTTGTCATGTTCTTTTGTTTTTATATATATTACCTGCTAGCTCCATCCCGGATAGGGGTACTTTAAATCAACCTGCCCGAATAGTAAACACGTCATTTCGAGCATATTGAAGAGCGCCATCATACCGGGCAGATACCTAAAGCAGTACAGCATGGGTAGTTTAAATGCACTATGCTCAAACCAATCTCAATATTACTTTTGAATCAAAATTGTTACCCTGGTATCAGCAGGATTCTTTACTAAAACGTGAAAACATACGATTGTTAGCAAAGGCAGTGTTTCGTTTAGTATGCTGATTCTCCCCACTTTTCTTTCTCTCTCTCTCTCTCCCATCATCCCTCATCTTCCTTTACTTAACAAAGGTCATTACAAAAATCATTTCCCTAAATGTTCTCTGGCCACATAATTAAGCCCTTTTCACAATATTGTTTGCATTCTATCTCGTTTCATTCGATCGTATCCTCTAAATTACTGTATTAAATGTGTTCCATAGAGCTATTTTACAAATCTAAAGGGAAAAAGAAACACACAAGTGTTTAAAGTAACCCTTCCGGTTTTTAATTTTTTTTTAAATGGCTATGATGACAGGCACACAAATATTTTATTCAATACAAATTAAAAAACTAAATAAAGACAACAACAAAACTAATTGTTTAATAGTAAGCTAGTCTATTTTTGAAGTTTGAAATGATCATCGAGGCTAACTTCCATTTCTACTGATTTCTATTTTATATTTCAGCCCTAATGTATGCCTTTTCTATTATTCGGAGGGATTTCTGATACATGCACTGGTAGTCCAAAAAGCAATATCATCTGCATACATAATAGCACTATAACCTTCATATATTGCATTTTCTTCAGTAATAATCTATCTATCGATATTACCATACAGCATGGGACCTTTCTTGCCGTAGAGTAGAGTAGGCGGGTCATCGTTTTATCAGAAGTAGAAATAAGCGTTATTATGATCTATGTTTACCTAGTGTTAAATGTCGCTAGTAGTTAAGCACCAGTTATTAAAATACCCCGGCATGAAATGAAAAGTTTTATCAGGTATCAATATTGTTTTCCTGACCGTCCACCCCGACACGTATAATGCTATTGATACGCCTGCTTAGATCCTATATAAATCCCTGTTGTTTAGTATTCCTTCTATTGGGCACACGCCATCTTTAGCGCGAGGCGGGTTACTTATTGTTAGTCGTCTTTGTTCAGTACACGTGTGTGAGATTGACTTACATGTATAGCCACTCGACCATACCAACACCACGATACTTAAACCATCGCATGTCGCGGGACTGTGCTTACATCTATAAAGGGGGCCAATCAGATGGGGAAAAAGTTAAGAGAATGATAAACCCCCGCGCCATTTTCTAACGCCCTCGCCCAATCCGAAAAGGGCCCACATACTGTACTTTTAACTAAAGTCCGCCTGACGATCCAGGCACAGACGTTTTATGTTTTCTTCATACTTCTGAAAATGTTATTCCTTAATTTTATTTTTTGGAGATGAGTTCTTTTTTGTTCCTCAATGGATTCTACAGACTAAACAACTTCCAATCTCTACATTATGAAATAACACATTGTTCACTTATATAAAGACTATGGCATTTTATGAAAATACCAGAAATGTCTCGCGCATTATCAGTTTTGTTCTTGGCCCTCATACAAGAAGTAATTCATCAACTCAACTATGATGGTGTAAACAATGTACAGCTCCGTGTGTATACTGATGTCATTCCGGGTAAAAAAAAATTAAAAAAAAGAAGACCGTTCATATTATCGGACCACAAAAAAAATGTTTATAATAAAGTTCAGGTATTCACATGATGTCAAATATTGAATATCAGATGTTTTTCAAGCAAGTCCTCATTGTCTCTTGTGGAAACATATTTAAGCAATTTAATATAATTTCTATCTTTGGGGTTTGCTTTCCTTTGATATTCATTGAACGCAGGAAATTTGAATGATGAGGATTCATTTTTACTATTCGACCCTAACTTGCTCTAGCTAATCTTAAATCCGTACTGACTTGAAACACACCATAATCAACGTAAGAAATATAAGACTATGATTCTAGTATAGCTGCCATCCCTGATGTAAGGTGTTAGGAGTGGGCTAACCTGGGAGTCACACCAATTAGTGGCGAAGCATGAGTCCAGCCATCGAGGGGGGGGGGGTACCAGTCGGCAGATGGTAACATACATTAACAAGTCCACCGGGTAGGGGAAATGGGGGTTCAATCAGTTTTAGGGGGAAATATTTTGTTACATTGTTTTGTCTTTTTTTTAAATTCTCCCCCTCCTCCTCCCCCTCCTCCTCCCCGTCCTCCTCTCCCTCCTCCTCCCCTCTCCCTCCCCATATTTGCCATCGTTCGATGGGGCAGGTGTCTCCATGCCCTCTGTAGCTCCGCCATGCACGGCCACGAATGACGCATTTATCTATTACACCCTGCAAACAGATGAGTAAACATAGCACAATGTTTGTCCTGCCTTACTCCATGTTATTAACATCCGGGCTCTTGTGTTGAGAGCGAATCGAACTGTCATATTGCTTGGTTGCCAATAGTAACACAAGCTCTCCCCCCCCCCCCCTGATAAAACTACACGCCATAAAATATAATTAGCATATCAAAGTTCAGAGGCCTTCATCCGAGGGTGATAAATCTCTCTCTGTTCTCTTGCTCTTCTCACCTTTCTTTTAATCTACCTCTATCTTCTCTGTCCCTGCTAATTTCCTTTAGGTCAGACTCCTTTTTATAAATAACATTCCATTTACGCATCAACTTACATTCACTGTTATGTTGAAATATTAGACCTTCTTGTTTCGGAAATTATGTTTAAACGTATAAACATCGCGTCGTTTGTATTTTCTCTGTTATAGCGTTCATAAGGGAAATAGCATTGCAGTAAAACGTAGACCACTCACTTGATTACAAACCATGTTAACCGCAGTCTGTACAGCAAAAAACAAAATGTATAATTTCTGGTATTATATAACTGGTCAGCGATTATCAAGATGTAATTGAAATGTAAACGTGTTTTTCTTTTCCATTTCAGACTAGAATAACATTGTAAAATCATTTACGAAAATGTTATTTTTGTATATGAGATTATTAGCAAATATCATGATTTTCATATACTATGCTAAGTCTGTGCTTTGTCAAATGTGAATATGTATTTAATAATTGTTTGTTTAAAGAAAACAATATATGAATTTAAACATTTTAATGTACACTTAATATAAAACTGAGAGATATAATATTTGCCCGGAGGGCCGTCGTCTCTTCCCCGAATATCAACGTTTTAGTTCCTTAAGATATTATTGAGCTACTGAGGTGTACGAGGAAAATGAAACCGTTTGTTGTCATAATAGTTATTAAAGGTGCACCTTTACATGTCATATGAATAATGGTAAATGATGAATAATGTTTAAAAATAAATGAACTCAAAGTGTGTTACGTAAGATTTGATTAATACGACGAGACCTGAACTAAGATTGATGGTTGCCCGAACATTGTTAACTAAACATTTCTCTCTCCCCGCCTCGTATGTCTTAAATAATCATTCATCAAACATTCTTTTTTCAGATATTCGAATAATCAACTATTCGAGCCCCCCAATCCGTTAATCATTCAAATAATCGACTATTCAACTATCTAACATCACCATTAAAATAAGCAATGCTTTTAATAATCATTTCATCAAATATTCAATTAATCAAAAACAAATTAATCACTGAAACAAATTATCATTCACACAATGATTTCTTTTAAATAATCGACTCTTAAAATGATCAATCATTTTAAAATATCAATCATTCAGACAATCCATCACTAAGACAATAAGTCATCCACGCAATCACTTATTTAAATAACTAAATAACCCGCCAATGTATTACTTGTTACTGTCTGATACTATTGCTAAATCTTATCCGTTCATTTAACAAGCTTCCTTCACTGCAAAAACCAGAGTGTTAAAATTAACACCAAGGGTGTTCAATTTAACACTTTCTTGGTATCTATATCGGACAACTCCTCTGGTGTTACTTAACACCATTTTCTGGAATTAGATAATTTCAATTCCACTTTTGGTGTTGATATTTGACAACTCCTACTGGTGTAGATTAACACCAATATCTGGTATCATAACAAATTCAATTCCACTCTTGGTGGTAATATTTGACAACTCCTACTGGTGTAGATTAACAACAATATCTGGAATCATAAAAAATTCAATTCCACTTTTGGTGTTTATATTCTTGTTGATCCAATGGTCCCACATTCCATATTTCCTATTATCGACCATTATCGACCAGGGTAGAAGAACCAATGGTAAACTGATAATTCATAATCGATGTTGACAACTGTCCACCAATAGGTATATTCTAACCTCCATTGCACTAACTCCATCACATAGATCATTTGAAGTAATTTCAAGATTAACATTTAAATGATACAGGCTGGTATACGAATATATAATAAATATGCATGTTGTTTCTTGGTTAGTAATCTTATAATCAATATATCTATTGCTAAAACGTTAATGTAATTGTAACAAGACCGGACGAATAATCTATTGGTCAATAATTGCCAAAGGAAAATACACATCACAAAATTGATGTGCATTGTCATAATTTGCTTAACAAATCATGATAAATGTATTCTTCTGTGAACACGTGTAAAGTAATCATTAAGCGCGCGTACACTTTGTGAAAACTTATTCGACCAATCAACCACCTTAAACGAAATCACGTGATGATACTTTCAACACCGAGCATAAAACACCACCATGTTACTTAACACCAAGTAATTATTATATACATGCTTAAATCTAAACCGGTGTTAAAAATAACATAAATGGTGTCAAAAAAATTCAATACCATACTGGTGTTTTGCAGTGTTCAAGCGATTAAATAATGAGTTATCATGATCTTACCTATAACATTGATGCGATCTTCATGTTGCACAGCCCCTAGTTCACTTGTAGCTTCACACCGATACAATCCACCGTCCTCACTCACCAAACGAGATATATTCAAATAACTGATGACGTCACTATCTTCATTGATGACGTCATTGAATGTATATCTAGGGTCTGTTGGTATAGGTAGACCATCTCTAAGCCAGGTCACGTCGGGTGTGGGGTTCCCTGCTACTGTACATGATAGCTGTAGATTGGGTCCCGGTTGAAGGGTTTGGTTTGTGAAGTGTGCCAACATGATTGGTTTAGCAGCTGTAATCAAATATTGAAGGGTTTGGTTTGTGAAGTGTGCTAACATGATTAGTTTAGCAGCTGTAATCAAAGATTCAAGGGTTTGGTTTGTGAAGTGTGCTAACATGATTAGTTTAGCAGCTGTAATCAGAGATTCAAGGGTTTGGTTTGTGAAGTGTGCCAACATGATTGGTTTAGCAGCTGTAATAAAATATTGAAGGGTTTGGTTTGTGAAGTGTGCCAACATGATTGGTTTAGCAGCTGTAATCAAAGATTCAACCAATCAGAGGGTTTGGTTTGTGAAGTGTGCCAACATGATTGGTTTAGCAGCTGTATTCAAAGATTCAACCAACCAGTCAGAAATCTCTTCAACAACGACCATGTTTCAGTGTTTGATTAAAATTTAAGTATGTTTACATAATCATGATAGTTACATGTTACAGTATTGGGGACACCAATATAAATACTTTATTGGCTCCACAATCTGTCATTTTGCCTCCAAAATAGTTTTCAGTAATATGTTATCATTATTACTATTGTTATCATTATCATTATTATCATATATACAACAGCTACTGATAAGAACATTAAATTTAGGTCGCTTTTTTTTTTCTTTTTTAGGTATTTTGGTGATATTGATAAAATGTGATTTAACAGATAAATTGGGGAATCGAGAGTTTTCATAAAATATTACAGAAAAAACAATACAAATTATACGGGTAGGTCTCCTTGACAAATAGAGTAATATAGTGACACTAATGTACAATGATGAATGTAATATAAATTAAGGCATTTCTATGGTGATCTCAGATTCAATGAAAACAACTTGAAGCTTACCTCCGAGGGAAAGTTGCATTGTCGCTTCTTGTGTTTGCCAACTATTACTGGCCACGCACTGGTACATTCCGCGGTCGTCTCTGCGCATGCCCCCTACTACCATCGTACCATTCTCATACACAGTGACGCGATCATCTCCATCCAATGGCTGTGCGTTCTTATACCACGTGACCTGTTCTATCGGATAGCCAGAGACAGAACAGTTGAATGTGGCGAATGCACCGACGTCAACGCTCCGTTTTTGAGGATAGAAATACACCGCTATCGAATCTTTAACAAAATAAATAAAGGAATATAAATAAGGAGAACTGTATAAAACATTCATCGCAGGGTTTTAACCTTACAATCATTGCTTTCGTGATCAGATAGAAAAGAACGAGATTAGATATTCAAAATAATGTAAATGAAAATACTTCTATTTCAAACTAAATCGAAACCAAAAATATTAGAGTATATTACCATATATTCCTGAATAAAGGAAAACAAGGTTTGTTACGATCCTGTTAGCACAGAAGGCAAATGAGATGGTAGAGAGTTCTCTGTCTCCATCTATCTTGTCATCTTAGTTATACTATAATAGCACCCTTGAACATTCTCTCGTTCCAAATTATATCTAAAACGGATAACATAGTCCAGCACGCAAATAATTCGATGATGATAAAATGACAGGAAGAATGCCATTGCCAACGTTTTTTTTTATATAGCAATACAATGCACTAGTTGTCGATGTATTATTTGGAAATTGGATTTTTGAGATAATTATGAACTACATAATCCATGGCGTGTTATTACTATGACAGGTTAAGCAGCATACGTACCTCTGACAATAACGTTCCGTGTTGTACTCACTGCACCCAGGTCATTAACTGCTTCACAATCATAACGCCCTGCATTCTCCAGCTGCACGTTGCTAAGCAACAGGTTACCACCACGGAGACTCCGGCTATCACCGGGTGTGACAGGGACGCCATCTTTGGTCCATTGGTAGGTGGGTAATGGGTAGCCACTAGCAACGCAAGGTAGCTCTACTGTCTCTCCCCCTCGAAGGGTGAAGTCAGCTTTGGACTGGATCAGTTCTGGAGCAGTGTTCACTGGCTCTGGGAATTATCACACATATCAAGGAAATTGAATATCTGGGCCCTGTCTTACAAAGAGTTGCGATTTATCCAAATCAATCGCAAATCCTCTAATCAATCGCAAGTTTGCAATTTCCAACTTCCTATGTACATATTTGCGTTTAAAATCAATCTCAAATAAGTTACGATTGCTATCAACTCTTTGTGAGACAGGGTTCTGGTCTAACGGATAAAATAACTACCAAAAGCGTTTTACAGATACTACCCATGCCAGCGCCGTCGATGAGACAGTTTGGCCAACCCTGTTGCAGTAGGGCCAGGCGCGTACGCAGGATTTTTTCAAGGGGGGGGGGGGGGGGGGGGGGTTTAACATTTATAAATCGGGCCAAAAATTTCGCAACGACTCAGCCAGCCGCTGAATAAGCCGGGGGGGGGGGGGTATGAGGACACTTTTTTTTTTTTTTTTGGTCTCGAAATTTGAAAATTTGACATTTTGCTCCGTTTGGGGGGGGGGGGGGGGTATGAGGACACTTTTTTTTTTTTGTGGTCTCGAAATTTGAAAATTTGACATTTTGCTCCGTTTGGGGGGGGGGGTAAGGTCAGCTTTTTTTAGGTCAACCATGGGACTATTTTTTTTTTTTTTTTTTTAAATAAAAAAACAAAAAAAAAATCCAAAAGAAAAGGGGGAGGGGGGGGGGGGGGTTTAGAGAAATTTAGGGGGGGGGTTTACACACAAAAAATTACCAAAGGGGGGGTTTAACCCCCCCAAACACCCCCCCCCCCCCCCCCCCCCCCCCTGTGTACGCGCCTGAGTAGGGCACAATCTGGGGGTAATACTTTGTTTGGGAAAGCACAAAACAATTTAATATACGCCATGTTGTGACGAATTGAAATAAAGATGGCCAAACCCTGTGTCTAGGTGGTTCTGGCCCCGGCCAACGGATTTACTCACGCACACGATGTGTATGTCATCTCTACTCCTTGGGGAGTATTCCTATAATGGTCAACTTGAGGAATTAATATGTCAATTAGGATATCAGTGGCTTCCGTCATCCTGTCAGTTCCACACTCTTATCCGGGTAAGGAGTGGCAAATATAGATAGATGCTTTGGAAAAGGACATGATACCGTGCATGATTTTGGCATATCGAATCTAGTGCTCAAACCATTTGACTTCCAATGCTTCCAGTCATGCCAGTGGCAGATGTAGAGGGTTTTATGAAGCATGCTGTCAACATTCTAAGTTTGGTGTGGCTTATATGCAATGGTCCGCACGTTAATTCAATCTGTTTGATTAATGTGCATTATAGAAAGACATCGATTTTTGACGTGATGTCAGAAATTTAAATTTGAAACAAAGATTCAAGAGTTTTAATAAAGCGACTTCATATTATATGTCTCTTTAGACATTGAAGAAAAGATATGGAATCTATGAGATGCACTTACCATGTTAACTGCCATTACCTATTGCTGTTTTACAATCAACAACAATATATCTGTCTTCTACGCGAACTGCCTACACTAGATCCACCATGCCACCATACTATTTATATTCAGCCTATTCGATTTCAAAATGATTAACTTCATATTCATTCAATTCTACCTGTAACCGGAATATCATTTGGTATCGTATTAATGCAAGTCTTCCTCCCTATATCATCTATAACTGTATTTGACAGTTATATTGGTTACGTGATCAGTATATATAGTTATTGCATTCTAGAATTGACAATAATGTGTACAACTGCCCCACTCGTTTATTTCGGTTCTCCTAACGAGTAATAGAAAGAAATGGGTATGAGTGCATTTTCAAATTACAATAAGAAAATTCTCTTTATTCTTTATGATAAAATGCGTAAAAAAGACGACAATAATTAATATTAAGTTGTTCCCATGTGTTTCGAAGCATCTCGTATTTAAGTAATCTTTCACCATCTCCGATTATCTGAATTTTCGCACTTATATAAGACCATTGCCCCTTCATGAAGATATTATTTATTCATAATCTTGGTTGCGGAAGTAGGTGTGCAGATATGAAGATACGTTCAATAAACGAAAACATAACGTATATGTTTCAATGGATTTTTATTGTACTACTCACTTGCAACTGCCTCTAAGATCATATAATTATTATTATCCTAACCGAAACATCTCATACCACTATTTACCTTCGTGATGTTGATGCTTTACATAACCGTTCGACTGGTTTTAAAACCTTTGTAAAAAAGCTTAAAAGATTACCTGACATGAGGACACCTAAAATTAGCCAATGTGCAAAAGAAAAAAATTCTATGCATACTTCTATTATTTGGGGGTATATCCATTTAAGCATCATGTAAGAAATATTTAGATGTATTTGACAAAAGTTATTAGCCTAAAAAAAGTTTTTAACAATAGCATGAAAACTATATAGGCCTATGACCTGTCTTGTTATGCAAGTTGTTATAATCTGAAATATTCTTAGATGAAATGGCTCTGCCGAAAATGGCTTTGCACGTTTCGCTTGTTGTAATATGTTCTAATTCATGCTGTACACCGGAATAATTGTCATCTGATTGGCCTAGACCTCATTCAGTATGTCACGCAACACTGCATTATGGACAGACAGACAGTAATATACTGAGCTACGGGAAGCCAATAATTCGGTCTATTCCCAGTTTTATTTGGTTTAATAAGCACTGTTTTTCTTTTGTTTAACTGCTTCACTGCATTTAAGAGTCCCTGTGGATCCTATATTGGTATCACTAATTCACCAGAGATCAATTTTGTTCTAAACTGAGGATAATTAGAAGACCTTCTGTCAAGCTTCGTTTACAATGGGAAGCAATAAAGACTTGTTTATTCAACCTAATGCCATGCCACAGCGTGCATCCAAACCCATCGTCTAGATTTACAACAATTTAATCTGACTTTTAAACAAACTTCACCCCCCCCCCACCCCCCCCCCCCCAAAGAAGTTCTCCCTTAGTTTGCTAAAATGATGCTTAGTATTTTTGAAGTTTTATGATATAGATGATAAATAAAGCCGATGAATGAAGCGGTATCTTCACAATATGAAATTTCCCGCGAATTTGCTTATTTATATTTGAACGAATAATTTGTGTATTATTGATGTTCCAATGTTTTGCTAAATTTAAAGTAAAATTATGTCATTGTTTGAATATTGAATAAACACCTTTGAATGAAGCAAAGAAAAAAAATGACAATGGTTAGAGATCCTATGTAACACTCAACAGCATTACATTGATTTACTTACCTGCGACATGAAGGACCGCAGGAGGGCTCACTTTATTGTTATTTGTGAGTCTGTTACGAACTGTACATCTATACTGACCAGCGTCACGGTCACGTACGTCACGGATATGAAGTTCACCGCTGGGTAAGACACTGAATCGACCTTCTACATGGGGAGACAGAGAGAGAAAGATATATATAAATAGAGAGAAAGAGCGCGCGAAAGGGGAGCAGAAACATAGAAGGAGAGATAGACAGAGTATATTATATAAAGAGAGAGACAGAGAGAGACAGAGAGGCATATAGAGAGAGAGAGAGAGAGAGAGAGCGAGAGACAGACAGACACACAGACAGAGTAAGATATGTAAAAAGAGAGAGAGAGAGAGAGAGAGCGCCGATGAGGAACGGAGACATTGAAAAAATACACAGGCAAAAAGAGAGAAGTGGTGTTTCAATGAAAAACAAGTTGAAGGGTGATTTAATCGAATCAATTGCATTCTTTTCAGAAATAATTCGTTGTTAAAAGATATTGGAAGAATTGATATTGAGGTTCATATGTAACATGTACATGTATATGTATCGCTCACTTTCATCTCTCTTTGAATTATGGATGTGATATTATAATGTTTCATTTTTGGCCTTATCTTGGTTGATGATGGTATGAAAACCTGCTAATAGATCTGCCTGTATTCTGCATATAATCGAATCAAAGCAATTCCCTGAAAGATAATTACCTAGCTCACAAAGGCATCATTTCGTTAAATTCCAAGGATATATTCATATTACCTACTCCCAGCAAACAAACGTTAATTGCCAATCTATTGCTGGAAGATAATAGAGTCCAACGTCAGTCATCAGTGGGGGAATTGGTGATGTAATTATGTGGACTAGTGACGCAATAATGACATCCATCCCTTTGACTTAATTGCTAGATAACAGGGATTTATTGTCATTCGGTTTTTTTTTTTAATCGGTACAAATTGATGTACATGTATATGCATATTCATAAAATTGTTATCTCAGTATTCATTAGAGCGTATATAGCAAATATTAATTGTTTGGGGATTTTTTTAATTTTATTTTTAGGGGGGGGGGGGTATCTTGATTTTTCGTACATATGTACATATTTACAGCCGTGAACAAAAGACGACCAAAACAGTAGGTACTAGCATTTTACGCTAAATTACATGAAGATTGTGTACACATATATCATCGATTGTATGATCAACATAAAATGTGTGAGCATTGCAGATTAAAAAAGAAAACTCTTTTATGTATTTGTTGCCATTTGATGTTGAAATAATTACGTAAACCACTCTTAAAGGTAAACTTTGTATCAGTTACATGTACTACGAGGGTTTCAGTTTTTCGGAGTTAACTCCAGCATACCCATTACCTTTATGACCGCACCCCCGAGTAGATGCACATACATACCTGATTGTAAGAGGCTTGATTCCCTGGTCCAGGCCGTCACATTGACATAGTCCTTGACGAAGCGAGGGACGTTACACTTGAAGACTGCTGTGTTTCCTCGCATCACGTGATTATCATGAAGCTGCACTTGGTATTCCTGTAGTTGAACTAAATAACAAAATATAAGAACATCATTATTATTATCGTCTTTATCGTCATCACCATCATCATCATCATCTTCATTACCATCACTATCATCATCATCATCATCATCATCATCATCATCATCATCATTATACAGCTGTATCTGGTATTCCTGCAGATGAACTGATCAAAAGCCCAAAACACGTCAATATCATTATCATCATCTCTGTCATCATCTGTTTTCATTACCGTTATCAACCCTATCGTCGTCGTCCTCATCATCACTAGATATAATGATAGGACCCCCCCTCTCTCTCTCTCTATCTCTCCCCCCCCCCTCCCTCTCTCCTCCCCCCCCCCCCCCCCCCCTCTCTCTCTATCTCTCTCTCTCTCTCTGTCACACACCTCAGCTAAATCAACACGTTCTATTGGGTATCTATTTATGAACCATTCAACCTGAGGCTAAGCCAATGTGAATACAATTATCGATGCTAAGGTCGTGATAGTTAGTTCACCCTCTAAAAGAAAAAAAAAACACTGCTTACGTTTTTCATTAACATTTCATTTAATCATGGAAATATTAACATGTAAGTCTGAATGCAAAAAAATATAGTTATAGTTGAAAATTTTATCGTCTGATGGAATCTAATATTCTGACAACTAAATGTGTTGTCATTCATGAAAAGTGCTATATATCTAACATTTTTTCAAAATAGTTTAATAATCGTTATTGGTGCGAGGTATGATAATGCAGCTGTTGTTCTATATTTTTTGAAATAGTATTGCCAATGTTCAACTAGCTTATGATTATTGGGGTATATATCAAACAATCTGCCGATAATGTAATCTACACAATCGAGAAAAAAAATTTCATATTTATTAAGTAAAATAATTTATCAAGAAACTGGGAACTGCTACTTTATTCTTGTAGTAAATCCATCGTAATTAATAGTTAATAGTTAGATCTTCTACATTTAGCAATGTTTTAATACATTTAGTTGTAAGAATTGTTACTAAACATTCACTGTCACGTGTTCTCTTCTAAATGTAAATATGTCTGCACAACAAGGTATTCTTCTTCCCAGAAGATCGGTTTAGATTTGTATTATAGTATGTAAAAGCACTCACATTGAATTTGCGATGATCATGGCTTATATATCAAAGGATATTGTAGCTTTATACTTATACAATAAACCGTTTCATTAAATCTCATATCCGTAGCCTAAAGTAGTCCTGTCAGTGAGTAGCTTCCAATATACAGTAATAAAAAAGGACATCATATTACGTCATCAGACAATGAAAATAATCTGTCACCTTTTATTAAGGGCGAGCAAACACATCCTTGGGCGTATCCGCACTACACATTCCGTATCTTCTGAAGAATTATCACAGGTTGCGTTCACATTTAAGTTCATACTATACATTTCATATCATCTAAAACAAAGATCACAAGTAGTTTTTACATTACAGATTCTATATCTTCTACCACATGATCACAGTCAGTGTTCACACTATACATTCTCTTTCTTGTTTAAACAACATTATTGCATGCATTGTTCACACTACATAAGATTATTTTAGAACATTATTTCAGTCAATGTTAACATCGCATGTTCACATCACGTATTCTTAACATAATGAAACATGACATCTGTATAGTGTTCGCGTGATTCTCTATATCCTCTATAACATTATTTCAATTAGGTTCACATTAAACATTCTATATATTTTAGTTAGACGATACTATAAGTATACATAGGATATTAATCTTGCTTCATTACGTCAGCCAACTTCCATGCTCACCTTTCTTTTAGGATTATTGGTAACGACTGCCAAGTCAAGCGGAAGTTTTTTTATCGAAACTCTCAGGATATTCTTAGACTCAATTTCCATCGACTTAATTATCTAGAACTTGCCCTCAGTGTAAACCTGACTGCACTGCGGTATGCCTAGAGGTATATATAGGTTAGATATGAAAGACGGTTTAATACTTTCACTGTCAATATCTACCGCAATATCCACTTCAATCAAATCTTTTGTAGTTACCATCCTGAAGGATCCATGGCAGTCTAATTGATTCCGGAGCTTGTGTCTTTCTACTCTAGAGCGGAACTAATATTTTAGTCAATGTAATGTCTTATAGGACGAATATGCAGTAAGGTAGTATTGACAATGACTGGTGAAAGCCAGAAGGGTGGAAATTGTATGAGAATGAAGAGGAGTTTATGCTCTTTTGACTATCTTTAGACTAAATCTTGTTACTATAGAACATTTCAAGCATTTTAAACTTTATTGTATGCATTCTCTGTATGATAAATACTCTCATCAGACTTTATCGTTTTGTTTGACTGCTGAATGTTTCAAGCATGTTAACCCTTATTTTATGCATTCTCTGTTCAATAAATACTCTCATCAGAAATAATCGCTTTGTTTTTAATACTAGAGAATGTTTCAAGCATATCACACCTTATTTCATGCCTTCCCTGTTTAAAAAATACTTTCATCAGATTAAATCGTTTTTTTTCAAGCATGTTAAACCTTATTTTATGCATTCCCTGTTCAATAAAATACTTTCATCAGACTAAATCGTGTTGTTTTACTAGTAAAATGTTTCAAGCATGTTAAGCCTTATTTTAGCCTGCCCTGTTTCATAAATACTATCATCAGACTAAATCGTTTAAAGTACTCTCATCAGACTAAATCGTTTTTTTTTTTCTTTTTTTTTTTTTTTACTAGAGAATGTTTCAAGCATGTCAAACCTTGTTTTATCATTCCCTGTTAATTATACTCTCATCAGACTAAATATTTTGTTTTACTAGAAAACATTTCAAACATGTTAAACCTTATTTAATGCATCCCCTGTTCAATAAATATTGTCTTCAGACTAAATCGCTTTATTTTACTAGAGAATGTTTCAGATATGTTAAACCTTAGTTTATGCATTCCCTGTTCAAAAAATACTTTCATTAGACTAAATCTTTTTGTTTTACTAGAGAACGTTTCAAGCATGTTAAACCTTATTTCATGCATTCCCTGTTTAATAAATACTCTCATTATCATGGATAACCAAAAATATATTAAAACCATAAACAAATTTGTAAAGAAGTGTGAATTTCTTTGCCATGCTCATCCTGAAAGTTTATTAACTTTCATTACGATACGTGTGATGGGCAAATCTTGTTATAATACCATGCCTTTTATCCTCATCTGATCTATGTTTTCTATTCTAGGAGTGCATTACATAGGGAGTGTGAGAGAGAGAGTGAAAGATAGAGAGAGAAAGAGTAAAGAGAGAGAGAGAGAGAGTGAGAGAGAGGGAGAGAGAGAGAAAGATAGAGAGAGAGAGAGAGTGAGAGAGAGAGAGAGAGAGAGAGAGAGAGAGAGTGAGAGAGTGAGAGAGAGGGAGAGGGAGAAAAAGATATATATATATAGAGAGAGAGAGAGAGAGAGAGAGTGAGAGTGAGAGAGAGAGGGAGAGAGAGAGAAAGATAGAGAGAGAGTGAGAGTGAGAGAGAGAGTGAGAGAGAGAGAGAGAGAGTGAGAGTGAGTGAGAGAGGGAGAGAGAGAGAAAGATAGAGAGAGAGTGAGAGTGAGAGAGAGAGTGAGAGAGAGAGAGAGAGAGTGAGGGAGAGAGAGAGAGTGAGAGAGAGGGAGAGAGAGAAAGATATAAAGAGATATAGTAGATATACCAAACCTGCTATGCTAGCTGCCCAGGGTAGGAGTAATAATTATTATTCACCATATCGGGATCTAATTTCCTCTCAGCCTGGGGTAAATCGATATACAGACACTAGTCCACGTGTCTATCACCTATCACCATGACAATAAGGTCAGATGCTACAGTATGATTGGCTCGTGTAAGGTCAGATGCTACTGTATGATTGGCTCGTGTAAGGTCAGATGCTACAGTATGATTGGCTCGTGTAAGGTCAGATGCTACAGTATGATTGGCTCGTTTAAGTTTAGTCCTGTAGATGTCTGTAAGAGTCCTTCGCAGTTATGTTAAAACTGCTAGTTTTGACAAAGCAGTGTAATATATTGTATGTCCGTCATAGAATGTACAGACAAGAGTAAGGATCCAGTATTTAGAATATTTTGGGAAATGTTAATGATTCTTATAATGAGAAACCTATTCATACGACTTTACAAACGACGCAAATATAACAATTTGCCATCGTATTTTGAGTTGCAACTCTAAAGAATTCCAGTACATTTTCTCCACTCTTAGTCTTTTTTATTAAAACGCTGTGTCGTTTCAACATCTACTTCTACATGTTTTACGTACTTTCGGATGCCTATCCTCAGAGCGTTTTCATTAATTTCCTAGCTTTGATATTAACTCCATCTCTGTAGTCTTACATTGTTCTGATGGATGAATAAATTATATTCAGTTCTATTAATAAACAAAAATAAAATGCACAAAATTATTTTGACTTAATCTAATATGAAATATTTTGTATGGTACCAATATTCGTCGGTTACACCCAGGTGTATTAAGTGGCTATCTATTATTTTAGCAGAATACTAGGTGAAGCGTGTTATAGCTTTATTGAAAACACAACGTCAGACTCCCTTTTTGTATTCACTACAAGCATATCCAACTCATATTCTAAAGGATGTGCAGCATTGAATTGATATTATGTTATTCTCACGTTCAAAGTGAATTCATTATGTAATGTCTCAGCGTATATTAAATAATGCCAAATAGGTAATGCGGTCATTTATATTAAGACATTGTTTCTGTTTCATTTCACATCGCATTCATATTGATCTATTAATCATCTGGGCCGTCCATTGTTTGACACTTTTAGAGAAATGACATAATAAACCTGAAACACTGAAGCAAAATGATGATGGAATTTCATTCTCCCACCCCCCCCCCTCCTCTCTCCCCTCTCTCCCTCTCTCTCTCTCTCTCTCTCTCTTTCTTTCTCTTTCTCTCTCACTCTCTTTCTTCCAATCTTGTTATCTCTCTTATTTTGTCTCCTTTTCCCTTCCCACACACACACACCCTCACCTACATG